AAAAAAAAAAGATACGCAAAGGGATTGTCCTAAAACTTTCGTGAAATTTTGAAAATTTAATCGCTTTTAGCTCAGTTCTGTTGTCCCTATATATATCTTGTGAAACATATTTCGTAAACCACATTTCATGATATACAGGGTGATTCAAGGAGACGCCAGGCTCTTTAAATCGACCGCAAAATTCGGTTTCTTAACCTGTCGCGCTACGACTTTGTGCAGCGTTACCCACAGATGGTGCATTTCTTTTTTGTAAAATTTGCAAAGAGCGAGCTTACCTGAGGAAAAAGTTAAGAAAGAAAAAGGCTTAGCTCTTATGGAAACGCAGCGACGCCGCCGGTCTTCAAACATGGCACCGTTTCGCACGGGAGACGAGAGGTGGCGCAACGAACGCCGCCAACGTAGAGTTCCTGTATAAGTAATGCCAATAAATCACCCTAAATCCTTGCATTACACTGCTAAATTAAAATACTAAATAAAAATAAAATAAATTAATTACATTAAATTATTAAATTTGGTCACTAACACCTCCCTGACCCAACCCACAAACCACCGCCCCGACACATATCCCTCTTATTCCCTTTCACGGGGGCGTGCCACACTGCAAAAACTGCCTTTCTCTCTTGCTGACCGTGATAGAGGGCATGCTCACGCAGTCATCGGCGCTTTCCTCAATGGCCAGGGCCTCGAGAATCTCGCGCGCAAAGGCATTTCTGTGTCTTTTAATAATGGAAACGATGCTAAAACTTGGCTTGCACCCGCACGCACGGCAATGGGCTGCAAGGTGCCCAGCCCCTGTGCCCTACACCGACGCCGTGTGCTCCCTGACTCTTTGTCATCAATGCAGCGTCCTGTCTGCCCAATGTAGCAGCTCCCACATGACATTGGAATATTGTACACAACACCGGTCTAGCGCATGGCTTACTTAGTCGTGTGCGCAGTGCTGCAGGTTGGCTGGCGGTTCTTGGCCTGATTTACCCTCCGGCACATAGAGTTCCTTCTGTTCGGTGCCGAGCACACAACCCTGACACTCTGCCGTGCAGCGATCTTTTTGAGTCGGTGGGTGGCACCGTGGATGTAGGGGACTACCGCGAAGTTCTCTCGTGGATTCTGTCTATCTCGCTGTCTGTGTTTTGTCTATATCGTTCTAGCTGTCCGTTTACTTTTGCTAATTCCCCTGTTTCGCACGAACCGTTCCCCCTCAAAAGACACAAAAGTATTCTTTAAGTAAAAGGCTAAAAGCTCCAGGAAGTGATCCACGCTAACGCCACACGTGCTCTAGAACGGTACAACGCCGTTGAGATTGATGCACTCCCTAACAGTGTTGCGCTCTGTATAATAATGAAGTCTTAGAATAATGTAGGCAAGCACTTTGACTAAAAATTAGCGTTACCTTAGGTTTTATATCGCGACGCTATTTTTAGGTTATCCAAAGCGCTTGCGTACGGTCGGTGTTGTGACACACTATTTGCATAGGCATCAGCCTTCCCCCTACACCAGCACGCTTGTACATTTCTACCTCCCAAGTGCAATAAATAATATCAATACACGTTTGCAAGTGCGGTCTCAGGGCGCCGCCATCTTGCCCAGTGGGGTGCGCTTCGGCGCGGCCATAATCCGATTATGACGCCTTAGCAAGGCTTCGTAATCGGATTAGGACGGAGCAAGATGGCAGCACCCTGAAGCCGGACTTGCAAACGTGTTATACGGATATTTCGAAGAGTGATAGATTAGACAGGTCGACAGGCATATGATTGCGACTTCATTTTCTTGCGAGTTCAAACACAGAACCCTCGCGCAAACAGGAAAAAATTTATAAACCACAAAATGCTATCGCTTTGGTTGAGGAAGTCGAACAGAAAAAGTCACGCCATCAGAAAGGCGGCTGTCCCCTGGCCCGCACGGCACCACCATTTGCAAGCTGCTGCAGAGATATCCTATGTCAAGCGATGAAGCTGATGAAGCTGTAAATGTTCGGGAGAGCCCTCCCTGACGCAGCGTTTATCTTACGGTGCCATGTCTCCAAGGTTGTTTCGGGAAAGGGAGAAGTGAGGTAAGCAAAGAGGTCAGACATTAGACACGGGTGGCGACGAAGGCGTTGGAGAAGAGCGCCGAAAGGGAGCGAGAAAGAGGGGAGCAGAGGGGAGACGACCGCCATTTTTTCCCAACGCTACCGTAGACCTGGCGGAGAAGAGCACTGCTGAGGCTACGCGTCGTCTGCTACGGGCCGACTACTTTTTCGCCTGAATAAAAGTTTGTGGCCATCCGTCGAGAAAACTTCTTTTATTAGCTTTTTAACCCACCGAGGAATAACAGTATATCATTTTCTTGCCAGAGCCAGTGATATAAAAGGAAATAATCGAGATTTAGAGGTCGATCCCACGCATTCCGCCGGGAGAATGTACGAAAATGGCGGCCCTCCCCGCTCAGCTAGGAGCAGCCGGGAGTTCACGCGCATGAGCTCATGCCTCTCGCTTTGCGCCGCGTGCTGATTGGCTCACTCGGGAGGAGAGCGTTACGGCGGCGAGATCATAGTCTGATGAGCAAACTCTCCCCATTTACGGCTCTGCTTGAACCTAATCAACTGTTAACGAAAAATACAAACGAACCGACCCAATTGATAACGAACGATGGCCGAAGCGGGAAGGTTGTTTTGAGATAGGTCAAAATGGGAAAGGATGAAACGCGAAGGTCGTTTTGAGCCGGGTCGAAACGGGAACCCCAGGAAAGTGTAGGGCGGTGTACTTCTGGTCGTATCTAAATACACATAACGGAAGTAGACTGCCCTACACTTTTCTGCGCTGGTGCAGGAGGTGTAAGTAAATGGAACGCAGAGGTTGCATAGGCTGATCTGTTTGCGAAGTCGCCCCGGTTGCTTCCTTTACGTCACGTAGACGGGGACGCTACACACCGGCTGTTGAAACAGGCACCGCGAAGCATGTTACACCGTGGCACCTCTCGATCGCTCCGGCCCATGGGCATTTTTGGGTCGGTTGTACGAAAATGTCGACCTCTGTGCGGTGAACGTCTTTTCCTGACCACCCCGTAGCTTCTTTGGGCTTTTTAATAATGAAATTGTGAAGAACGGGTATGTGCACGCCCAGTTTATAGCAACCCACGCCCCATTTATAGCAACCGCGTTAGCGTCAATTTGGCCAAATTTCTCGCTTTTCGCAACACAAATACTGCATTATGTTTTTGCATGCTTTGTCAGTACATATTATAAACATTAATTTCGGAGAGCTTAAAGAATATTAAAGATGGCCCCTTTTTTTTAATGATTTTCAAAATAACGCATAGTTAGTTAAATGCCCGTGTGAGCAATTTTTGAAAATTTCTCCCAACCAGGACAATATTGTATGCAAAGATGAACTATATACAGGGCAACACACTGGCAAAGTTTGAAGACCTTAGCTGTCATAGATACGGAGAAACAAAATCTTTAATCGAGAGCATAATTGCGCAATGTGCCGCGTTTGCGATTTTGTTTCTCAAAATAACGACCCTAATACTCGGTGATTAATATTTTTTGTCAATCCTTCCTATGCCTAATTTGACAGTAAATATTTATAGACCCCTAGCCAGAACAGTCTTTTAGGGGGGAAGTCGCCCGAAATGCCAACATCGCGCGATACGCAAAACGAGCGCGTGACTTATAAATTGTTTTCGCAGACCTTTTTTTTAAACAAGGATTGGTTTTATTCTTCTTGGCATAGAGTCAGCAAAATTTTTTTTATCAAGATTAAAAATGGTTACAGGACAAATGGTTGTTCGCTCTGATCTGAAAACGCCCAGCAGAGCTTTTCTCTCTGCCTCACTCCCACTGCCCCATTTCTTACTCCGAGGACTAGGCTGACCTAGCCAAACACTTAAACTGCAGCAATCATTGGCATCAACCGACACGGAGTTGGGTCTAGATTTGAGACTAAACCCACAGAGGCACGGAGTGCAGATTGGACACGAGTCACACCTGTTTGAAACCGGAGGCGACGGATGACACAAACACAGAAAAGAGAGTACCACGGCCCTGTTTATTGTGTAGCATCTGCAGGTGTTGAACGGGGAGCAGAATATAGTATACTTCGTTTCAGCTTCGGTCCGAGCGCGGCCGATGTTATGAGCCGAAGGGCCAATCAAACAGCGGAAAAAGCGCAGCGTCATGGCGTGCTCTCTGTGCCTGATAGGACTAGCCGGCGGAGGAGCACGCAGAGAGACACGGCGAATATCGGCTGGTCCTATCAACTGCAGAGAGCACGCCATGACGTTGTGCCTGTTTCGCTGTTTGATTGGCCCTTCGGCTCATAACATCGGCCGCGCTCGGACTGAATCTGAAACGAAGTATAGCGGTAGAGAGGTGAGGGTATGAAAGTACCAGGTAGGCAAGGAAACCAAGAAAACAAACATTTAACATATTTGACCCCGAAAGCGGGTGGAGGATAGAGGGGACCTGACCTTTCTCTCATTTATTTTTGTGGCTGTACAGCCTGTACTTTCAAAATCAGTCACAAAATGCTACTTATGCGCCGCAGCCGTATCTGGCGCCAGCGCAAATGCTTGAGGGGCGACACTAGCAACAGTGTTTGAGGCTAACCATCGGTGAAACTCGAAAGCCGTGTCCTTGCTAAAATTGACTGCACATCAGGGAATGTCTGGTGGGATAAATACTAGCTTTCTAAGATCTTCGTGAATTATTCCAAGAAGGAAAATGATTTGGACGTAGAAATATACTCCGTTTGCATTTCCCAATGCTGACGCCATTGCATCTTTGCTAAATATTACAAAGAAGCAAACGATTCGGACATTGTATTGTAATCTGTTTGCATTTCCATGTGCTAGCAGATAGACTCGCCGTCTTTATAGCAAAAAAAAAAAAAAAAAAAAAGAGAAAAATGCAAGCCCCTACAGAGATTGCAATGTTGAAGGCTTTACTTCAAGAGGAAAACGGACAGTGGTCATATGTTTATACATCCCAAACATGTGCAGCAAGTCTGAATACACAGGAGTCCCCTTTATAAAAAATAGTTTATTGAATATTTTTGGCACAAGGTTATCACATTACCTACCATCAATGGCTTTCATACTTTGAAGAGCAGCAGCACAACAACCCTCCACCCCTCCCCCTTCCCCCCCTCAAGACAACTGCTCTTAGACAGACTATTGCTGATTTAAACTGCTAGGACCATAATGCTCCTGATACCACTGCAGCTCCAGGGTCTTCATTCTGAGGGATTCCTTAAGGTCTTCTATCTCCTTTTGACGCTCGACTAAGTTGTTTTTCAGCTCGACTAAGTTGTTTTTCAGATCTTTGATAATCTGGAAAGAATCACAATAATGATATGGTGAAGTAAGCTAGACTAGTCATTTGTAGTAAAATACAACATTAGACAATCCAAAACTTTCAGCAAGGTCCCAAAAGGAAGATCAAGTTTCAACAATCATGAACAATCTCGTTTCAAATTACACAAGAAAACAAGCTGATGATTAAAAAAGTTGTGAAAAAATATATATGCTGGGCTAATTCTCGACTATACTCTATTACACCTTATGATGTACCGCAGAAAAGGCTACAAGCGTCAGCTCCTTGCTCTGGGGCGCATCTCAGCGGCACAAGCTCTCGCGCATTCAAGGGACACTGACAGGGTATTTATGCTAAGCGAGGTTTTCAGTTGTACGTCACATATGAGAGCCCAACTACCCAGAACAGAATTTGCGGCTCGAAATTCGGTCTCTTTCCGCCCGAAAACCGCCGATCGAGAACTGGCCGGTTTGAGTCGCGCTCACTCTCTTTTCTGTGGTCACGGACCATTTTCTGAGGTTTCGACGCGACCACCAAATTTAATCAAAGTCGTGGGTCATTGAAGGCACACAGTCAATATTAGAAATAGAAAAAAATATGAAACCCATTTTTTGTGGCTTCCAAAAAGCTGCAAATAAATTGACTGAAAAAAAAAAAAAAAAAGGTAGCACAGACAACCGGAAGCATTCGGTGCATTCACTGCATAATTCTCAACATGGCGTCGTTTCGCGTATCGTGGGACTAGCGGACGGCAGCGGACGATGGGCGTTGGACCTCTACTTCAGAACTGTCGTTCACGGTACCGGCAAATTCTGTCTTCCTTCGAAAGAGAAATTTTGGACCAATCAAAAGAACTGATATTCATCCCATATGACACGCCCGACCAGCAAGCCGATTCCACGACGACGTCGCCGAGTCGTCGTCCCTTCTCGAAGCTGAAGACATCGCTCGCTCAAATGTCAAACACGAAGTGCGTACTTCGAGTTGAATACGCACGCGTACGGTTTCTTTGCGAGGTGCGAATGTGGCCTATGTGTGGTGCTGCCCGACCTCAGGCCTGGAGTGGACATATTGAAAGGAAATCGGCAGTAAACTTCCGACATACAGTCGACCTGCTTCATTACTGCGCATGAGAGTTCCTTCAGTAGCTCAGTGGAAAGACGTCCGCTTCGCAGGCAGAGGGCACAGGTTCAATCCCTGGTGTAAGCGTACAGTCTTTTTTTTTTTTTTTTTTTGTCAAGCATTTTGCGATGTTTACATTTCTTTTTTTTTTTTTACAATTATTAATGAAAAAAAATTGTTGTGGACGATACGTCACTTAACTAAATGGTATGGGATTCCATTTTTGACACCTGCGAACTCAATGTAGTCACTTTCCACAAAATGCAAGGAGCATATGAATCGGGTAGCGTCCGCTTTCCGAGCTTCGCGTAACTGTTCTACATGAATTGCAGCCAGACATTGATCCCGACCCGTTGATCTTTCGGAAACTTGAGCACTCTGCCGCACAATGCCACTTTCACTTAACATCTTGGAAGTATTCTTTTCGGAGCCGATCACGGGGATTCACCACGGGCACTCACTACTAACTGCCAACACTTAAATGTACAAAACGACTCATCTTGAAGTACAGAACATCGAGCGGAACAAACATAACTGCAAAGGAATCGCACGGCGAACGACCGTCTGCTACGTGGTGGGGGGTAAAGGTGGGTGAGGAGGAGTGGCAGATCCCGCGCGCCGACATCCTGGGTCCCGAGTGAAAGATCGCGAAAGAGAGCGACAGAACACGAGAGAAAGAAACTAATGTTACCAGCTGAAGAACGACAGTCGCAATTGTAATCGCGGACTGAAGGCTCTCAGCAATATAAACAGTGATAATTTAACGTTGTAAACTAAACTCCGAGTTATTCTAACGCTTATAAAAAGCAGCATACCCATTACGCTGCATTAACTTCCCTTCTGTTGAAATCTCGGAAATCTGGTGGTTGCGCGGTTTCGTATTCCCGGGGCGCGGCCACCCGCGAAGCCGGTTATCTGGTTTAGTTTAGTGTTGACGGGAGGCCGTACATCTGCGCGCTACGCAAAAAGAAAGCTTCGAAAGGAACGCGAATATCTTTCCACCGGTAAGTTCGTGGATTGTCGAAGTTCATGAAACTGCTCGGATGATATCAGGGGGGTAAATGTGGGTGAGGAGGAGTGGCAAATCCCGCGCGCCGACATCCTGGGTCCCGAGTGATAGATCGCGAAAGAGAGCGACAGAACCATAGAGATCATACATACTAACTCTAGAGGAAAAGGTCCGCCATTTTCCCATACATTCTGGCTGCCGCAAGCGGCGGATCATGCAGGCAGACCTTCGGGGTCCCAAACACGGTTACATCATCAGAGCAGTTTCGTGAACTTCAACAATCCACGAACTCACCGGTGGAAAGATATTCGCGTTTCTTTCGAAGCTTTCTTTTTGCATAGCGCGCAGATGTACGGCCTCGCGTTAACGCTAAACTAAACCATATACCCGGCTTCGCCGGTGGGGCGCGGCTGGGCGCGGTTGAGGAATACGAAACTGCGCAACCACCAGATTTCCGAGATTTCGACAGAAGGGTAGTTAATGCAGCGTAATGACTTTATTGCTTTTTATAAGCGTTAGAATAGCTCAGAATTTAGTTTACAACGTTAAATTATCACTGTTTATATTGCTGAGAGTTTTCACTCTTCGCGTTTACCGTGGCAACGTTGCTTTCTTTCTCTCGTGTTCTGTCGCTCTCTTTTGCGCTCGTTCACTCGGGACCCCGGGTGTCGGCGCACAAATTTGCCACTCCTCCTCACCCACCTTTACCCCCCTGGACAGAACACGAGAAAGAGAAACCAATGTTGCCAGCTGAAGGACGACAGTCGCAATGATAATCGCGAAGACTAAAAACTCTCAACAATATAAATAGTGATAATTTAGCTTTGTAAACTAAATTTTGAGCTATACTAACGCTTATAAAAAGCGGTACATTCATTACGCTGCATTAACTTCCCTTCTGTCGAAATCTCTGAAATTTGGTGGTTGCGCGGTTTCGTATTTCTGGGGCGCAGCCGGCGCGGCCAACGGCGCGGCCATCCGCGAAGCCTATGGCGAAGCCGGTGATCTCGGTTATCTTGTTTAGTTTAGTGTTGACGGAAGGCCGCACATATGCGCGCTATGCAAAAAGAAAGCTTCGAAAGGAACGCGAATATCTTTCCACCGGTAAGTTCGTGGATTGTTGAAGTTCATGTAACTGCTCTGATGATATAATTATATTTGTGAAGTCGAAGGGCAGTTGGTAACCATGTGGGACCCCGAGGGTCTGGCTGCATGCACCGCCGCTTGCTGCAGCCAGAATGCATGGGAAAATGGTGGACCTTTTCCTCTAGAGTTAGTATGTATGATCTCTATTAGCGGCGAGATGTTTTGGTGGCGCCCTCCTACGGTTCCCTCTCGTGACGTCATTACCTTGCGAACAACAAGTTCGACGGTGTTTGTAATTAGCATGGTGGAAGCTCGATATGATTGAGTTCTCAAAGCAACACTGCCAACACCGTCAAAATTAAAGTTCTTACATTCCTCTTATTTCTGTTGATGAGAAAACCTTTGCTGACGTCATAGTCTGCATTTCGCCAATCCTAGAAAGCCGACCACAGCGACGCTTTCGATCGCGCATGTCGCCAATGGCTACGTGCGGAGAAAAAGAAAAAAACCCGCACGGTTGGGTGTAGCCGCGTGACATCCGCCACTCTATCCTCTCTACTTCTCCGTGAAGTGCGGGAGTTTCGGTTTCGAGCAGTTGCATTTTTTGGCTTTATTAAAAAAATAAGTGACTTTGTTCCAAAATATTAATGGGGTAATATTCCGACATAATAAATCGCGTAACAAAAAAGGAAAACATTTTTTTGGGGGGTGTCAGTGTCCCTTTAAGGGCAGCTGCCAACGCTATGAACTCGCGCTTCTAGCCTTCGCTGCGGTACAACATAAGGTGAAGCGGAGTATAGTAGAACGAAAGTGAAAATCGTATTTGTGTCAAATTTTTAGTTCCCGAGTTTTTAATTCTGAAAGGATCGATGACTGATTTCCAGATTTGGGCGATCGTCACAAGTAGCATATGTGGGTGTTTCACGAGGTTAAAGGGACACTGACACCCCCCCCCCCCCCCTCCTTTTTTTTAATCTTTTTTTTTTGTTAGGCGATTTATTATGGTGTCGGAAAAGCACCCAATTAATATTTTGCAACAGAGTCACGTATATATTTATTAAAGCAAAAAAAAAGAAAAAAAAGCGATTGCTCGAAACTGAAACCCGCGCACGCAGGTCGGAGAAGTGGAGATGAGTAAGTGAGTGGCGGAAGTCACGTGGCTACACCCGACTGTGCGTATTTTTTCCCCTCCAATTATTATTTTTCTTTTCTGTGCACAGCAGACAAAGTCAAATTTGAGGGTTTTACGTGCCAAACCTACAACGGGCATCTGGCAGGCCCCAGCGGAGGACTGAGGATTAATTTCGACTACCTGGGGATCTTTTGACGTGCAACCGAAAGCTTGGTTACACGGCGCCTTCTCCGCAATAAGCCTCCGACATATTGCGGGCACCTCGATCGGGATTCGAACCGGCCACCTGGGGATCCGCAGGCCGGCGCTCTCGCCCCGGAGCCACCGAGGCGGCTAATGCACAGCAGACGACATGCGTGGCGGGAACTGTTTGCCGTGCGATTCCTTTGCAGTTATGCTTGTTCCGCTCGCTGTTCTATACTTTAACATGAGTTGTTTTGTAAGCAGTGATAGAGTGCAGGCGAGCTGGTAATTAATATCTTGTAGACCCTGAGATGGGGAACAATAAAAAAACGGATGAACACAACAAAATCTGAGTTTTTGTTGTGTTCGTCTGTTTTTTTATTGTTCCCCATCTCAGGGTCTACAAGTTGTTGTTTTGTACATTGAGGAGTTGGAGATGAGTAGCGAGTGCCCGTGGGGAATTTCCGCGATCGGCTCCGAAAAGAATACCCCCAAGATGTTGCGTGAAGAGCTGGCTCACATGTCCTGCGTCCGAAAAAAGTGTCACTGTGCGGCAGAGTTTGCACAAATTTCCGAAAGATCAACGTGATCGGGACCAATGGCTGGTTGCAATTCCTGTAGAACATTTACGGGGCACCTCGGAAAGCGGACGCTACCCGATTAATGTGCTCATTGCATTTTGTGGAAAGAGACTACATTGAGTTCGCGGGTATCAAAAATGGAATCCCATACCACAACATTTGTTTTTTCAGTGATAATCGTAAAAAAAAAATAAACTGTAAATATCGCAATATGTAATAAACACACACAAAAAAAAAAAAAAAACAGTACGCTACTGGGGAATCTTTTTCCATAGTAGTAATGCAGCCGGTCAACTGTAAGTTGGAAAGTTTGCTGCCAATTTTCATTCAACAAAAGCACTCCCGGGTCAAAGTCGGGAAGCACCACGCATTGGCCACATTCGCACCTAGTAAAGAAATCGTACGCGTGCATATTACACTCGAAGTACACACTTCGTGCTTGACGTTTGCATGAGCGATGTCTTCAGCCACGAGAAGGGAGCAACGGCTCGGCGACGTCTTCGTGGAAATCGGCTTGGTGGTCGGGCGTGTCGTACGGGATGAATACCAATTCTTTTGATCGGTCCCAAATTTCTCTTTGGAAGGCAGACAGAATTCGCCGGTACCGCGAACGACAGTTCTGAAGCAGGGGTGGAACTCATGAAATGTACTTGGGAGCAGCTGAAACAGCTGTTTTGGAGCAGGTTGGGAGCAGCTAAAACTACATTCTGGAGCAGGCTAGGAGCAGCCCAGATCAGTTCTCATTGCGCTTCAGCTTCTGTCTTGGACTCAGCGGAGCGAACGGTGGAGAGGAAGTTGCCTCCTCTGCAGCGTTCGCTCTATTAAAGTGGAAAGAGGTGGGAGGAGCTTCCACTTCGTTCTTGAAATGTTACCGGCTATGGGCAGATGGGATAACAGTGTAACAGATGCGAAAACTTGAAACTTTGTGAGCCTTAATGAGAACCAAAAAGCAAGTACCGTATGTTTCTGAAGATAGTGTACTTGATATTTTCTGAGTGGTTTTCAGCTGCTCAAAATGCAAAACAGCACTGCTTATCGCACAACCCAGACGTGCTCGACATAGTAATTATATGTGCGAACCACGTGACGTGCGTAATCAACGGACGCGCAGTTGCGCTGAGGAACAGGGCAAACACTTTCGAGTTTATCCTATTGTGCAATTCAATATCGAAACAGCCGACTACGATTAACGGAGTTATCGTATTCTAAGCGACCAGCAGGAGCAAGGTTAAATAAGTACGCCGAGCAGATCTACCGCTCGCGTGAGAGCAGGTGGCCGGCAAGGTTTCGGATCGGACCGCGTTTCAGTTCTATCAAATCACGATTTATCTTGCGGGAATGCGGTTCCAACTTGTGACGATGAAGTATTACAATGAATATTTTGCCTATTTGTTTTCAACTGGTTGACGTTCGGATCCCGGGCCGCAGAGCCTCAGACAATCTGAAGCTGAACGACTCGACCTCATCTCGGCCGACTTGCTTAACCGCTTATGGTTGAAGTCTTCAAGAATAACTATCAAGTCGTATGTGGTGTAGCGCTCGGAATCCGACCCGCGAGTTTTTTCACGCGCTTCTGATTCGGGATACACAGGGAAAATAAACAGAACAAAGGCTCGCAAGGCCAACCAAGCTAAAAAATGCTCGTTGTTACCAATCCAGCCGACAGAAACCGAAACCAAGACAATATCAAAAGTTTTTGGCGCACGTTTTGCGATTTGGTGCATAATGGCGAGAGGTATTGGCTGTGGCGCAGTTTCCGCAATATGGCGAAGGATGGCGCAGACAAATGCGTCTGGCGCAAAATAGCGCAAATGGCGCAGCCGTTCCACCCCTGTGAAGTAGAGGTCCCATGCCCGTCGTCTGCCGACATCGCCGTCTCCGCCAGTCTCACGATACGCGAAGCGACGCGGTGCACGCACAGAATGCTTCTGGTTCTCTGAGCAACTTCTTTCAATCAACGTATTTGTAGCTTTGTAGAAGCCACAAAAAATGGGTTTCATCTTTTTTTTTTCTTTCTATTTTTAATATCGAGTGTGTACCTTCAATGACCAACGACTTTGATTAAATTTGGTGGTTGTGTCTAAATCTTAGAAAATGGCCCTTGACATCGGAAAAGAGAGTGAGCGAGACTCGAACTGGCCAGTTCTTGATCGGCGGTTTTCGGGTGGAAAGAAACCGAATTTTGAGCCACAAATCGTGTTCTGGGTAGTTGGGCTCTCATATGTCAAGTACAACTAAAATCCTCGGTGAGCATAAATACCCTGTCAGTGTCCCTTTAAGATACCTTTTGCACAAGGAAACTGTAGATTTTCGAAGAGCAATAGAAGAGCCGAATGACCATAGTTTTCATATGTAATTTTAAAAACATCAAGAACCTAGATGTTTTACAATAACTTACATGACAATGATATGTTGGGCTTGGATAATGATAACCTTCATACAGCCATATTTATGGCAAATTATATATCAAATGCAAGCTTACCAATATACCTATTGAACAAGTATGATATTGTTAATATCGGTTGAAGTTATCTTAGCAAAAAAAAAAAAAAACAACCTTGGATATGAAAGGACACTCTAAAGGTACAATACTGTTATTATCACTTAAAGTTTGAGAGCTATTAATAGAGGTGCATGCTTCTAAGGCACGAGCGCTCTTTCAATGGAGGCCAGAGCCGTATGTACACGTTTGCAAGTCCGGCTTCAGGGCGCCGCCATCTTGCTTGCTGGGGTGCGCTTGGACGTGTCCTAATCCGATTATGAAGCCATGCTAAGGCGTCATAATCGGATTATGGCCGCGCCCAAGCGCACCCCACTGGGCAAGATGGCGGCGCCCTGAGACCGCACTTGCAAAGGTCTGGTCAATGGGAGGAGCCGGCGGGAGCCTGGGTGGAGCGGCGAAAACGGCGTCGCCGCCATCGCCGCGTATTCCCCCGTGATGAATTTGCGAAGTAAGAATGAGCTAGGATGACCTTGAAGTATTTGCGTAGCGTGGCGCAGGTATTTTTCGTTTCTGGATGAGGCTGAAAGTACACGAATGTATAATTGTAGGAGGTTGATAGGAAAAGGGATATTCAAGGTGCTGAGTGTATTTACTCAACCAGGAAAGGTGACATTGACAAGAAAAAATTTCCTGAAACATGAGGCGAAACTGTGAATGTGGGGTGCGCGGTCGGGGTTTGGGTCAAAACTCCCATGGAGCCAAATCGGTAGATTTTACTGACCACTCTGTCATGGCCGCGGCAGCGGCCATGATCAGAAGAAAGGTTAAGCGTGTTCTAAATGTCGCCGTGACAATGACGTCACGTGCGTTGCCCTTTCAGTTACAAACAATGACAAATTTTAGCTCTAGAATTCTGAAATGAAATACTTGAATACATCCTTACCTAGGAATTGTGATTGGACAATATTTTTAAGATCATGGCCTCCGCTAGGGGAATTGTGGCTAGTGGTTGGTCACAAGAGCTGCCGATCATTGCACCCAAGGTCACTAAAACAATTTTGGCCAATCACGTGTTGCCCTATTCTTACCAATTAATGACCAAACTCTCTACATATACGGCTCTGATAGGGGCATGCTTTCAGGTGAAGTGCTAGCACCCTGTGCCTCGCTCATGCACAGCTCACGCCAAAATCTCCCGAATCGGTGGGTGGTACCTGAAAATGGTGGGTTGATTCAAAAATTTACCAGATGATTATTACTCGATATCCCAACAATCCAAGGCTCACCTCATCCTTGGCAATAAAAAGTGGTGAATGTAATATCTCTGCTGCGCTTGGTCTCTCCTTTGGATCCTGGTGGCACATTGCCTGAACAGTAGATGCCTGTAGTGGAAAAGGAAAGGGGTGGGGGGCCAATGAAAACGGAAATTATTCCCGATTAGCCACACACTGCGGCTAGGGACAGTGCAATCATACCACGATTGGTAAATGATTCCTAAGCGAGCTCGGCAGGCACCCCTGGTGTAGCTTCTGGAGTTCCGAGATTCGTTCATGGGCGGTGAAGAAGGGGCAGGCCAGCTCAGTCAGCACCACTCCCAGGCTATATATATCCACCTGCACCAAGCACGAGCATGTAAAACATTACGTTCCAGCAATGTCAGGGTGATTCGGTGAATCCAAGTTGTGAACGAGATGCACAAAACCTTCTTTCTTTGAATGAGAGATACCAGAGATCAATGGATAGGACGTAATAAGCTCCCAGCAAACTGCAGGCATCTTATACTTTGCCTCACACCATAACACACCACGGCCAAAGCTATGGGCCACCCGCTCCAATCACGAACCAGCTGGAAATTACGTGGTATACACTTCCCCAAAAAAGATCTCTGGCCCTGCCATTTTGCTGATGATTATGTAAATAGTGCGACTCTTGAGACACTTAGCAGCAAGAAATATTCTGCGGCTCTCTTAACTGCAAAAACTTGGTACTCAGTAAAAATTTCCACATGCATTGCACACTTTGACTTTTCAGGCTTTTCATGGAAGTTTCAACTTTATTTTCCTTACTTGTACTGGATAACCTTTCTGTGTTCTTTCATCGTGAAAACCAAGTCTCGTAGCCCGAGTGCCTGCTATTCTAGCATTTCTGCTCGGCATTTCCGGGCAACAAAGGAAAGAACACTGAATGGCCTGTGAAGCGACATTGCGAACAATGACTAGGGTTCTATGCCGAGACAATCCTTAGAATGTTCTTCCTCGCCTTCACCGAAAATAGCTGATCGGGTTGGGGTGAGGGGGATCAGACACACCACCTTCATTCCTTTGGCACAGTGCAAAAAGCAAGCTTTTCCCAAAACCTGCCCCAAAACATGTTCCTCTTCGATTCCTTCCAATCGTCATAAAGTGGCTACTGTCGACAGAGTTGATTGGACGGGCTGTGTTATATCAAATGTTTCTCAAATAAACCCTGTTCGGATAACATAGCACGGTTTTTGTGAATGAGCAAGTCTTGACATTCTAAAAAAATATTTCACGTACCATACAATATATTGTTAAAATAAGATAATAATGATAAAAATTTTATTTCGGCATCTGTACAGGTTACAGACGCCGGATCCATGGACAAAAAGTCAACACATGTTGACTTGACGAGGTCCAGGCCTCGTGTACTTTGGCAGACGGCTACTCAGATACGAAAATAACTGTGGAGATTATAGCAAAAGGCAACAAGTAAAATACATGCATAAAAGAGCTAGTTTTCACAGGTTTACATAAAAATTCTATACAAAAAGTAGGTACAATGATTTAGGGTTTATATTATAAATGTCCACGTCATTTACATGATATTTTTTGGGCAATGAGGGTAGATTATGTTTTAAAAACTGGTAACTGTAGTTTGTACGAAACGAAAAAACTTTCCATTTCTCAGAGTAGTGAGCGAGGATGGCGGGCATGTTTTTGAATTATCCTGATGTTTGGTTTAGAAAACTAATCTATTCAGAAGAAAAACGAAATGACAGTCACAAGGTACTCATAAAATCAATGTATATTTATAATTTTGTATCGTGAAAATAGAGCTTCTGTGTGGGCTCTGAAATGAATGTTTCCAACACAGCACAAAACTTTTTTTTTGTAGTAATAATATCTTATTAAGACCTGTCCCTGTGGTCATTTCCCAAACGAGACGACTATAAGCTATTTGGGATTTAAATAATGCAAGATATATTTGTAGTTTTATTTTTTTTGGGCAGAAAGGCTCTACAACGTGCGGGTACACCAACAATTCTGCATAATATATTGACGACCTGGTTTATCTGTTTATACCATTGCAAGTTTTCTGAAAATATAATTCCTAATGTTTTATATTCTTTCACTTTCACTACTTCAATCGGTATGGATTGAAAATGGAGAGTTTCATTTATATTTATGTGTTTGCTGAATGATTTGAATAAAAGTCGAGACTTGCTGAATTTCATGTGTGATGCATGTCGTATACCCTGGTTATTTGTTTGCGAGGGATACACATGCATTTCGGCTATCCTCAGTTGTCAAATATTTTTTACAGTTAAGAACTCTGTTGATTAATGCTGTTGAGTGTGTGGCAGCATGAAAAATCAGCACAGAACACTCCAGTCGTTTTCAGAACATTCCAAACATTTGGTCGCATTCGTCTTGTCCTCATACTCACAAAAATAGTTTGCAGTTGTTTGTCTTTATTCCCGAAGATGGTAGAATGCTTTCTCAATGGCTTAAGAAAGTATATATGCCATAAAACACAAAAAACTGAGAACGCGAGAATTTAGGCACCAGCAGTCTCCAAAATAGCTCCTACACAGGCTGCAACAAGCGAAATCACAGCCTGCTAGATACGGTTAGCAGGCACGCCGGGGAGAGACCAGCCTCGAGAACCCAGTGAGCATGCTCCAAAAAGTGGTTCTCTTGTCCCTGGGGCAGTCTTTCTGGAGAGGTCTTTACTAGTCTTGTGCGAATAGTGGATTTTGAGTTTGAAGCGAATTCGAAGCGAATAGTGGTTTTGGCCGAATTCGATTCGAATATCGAATAGTTTTTCCACGCCTTTCACTAGCATTGCATAATGCATAGACAAAAACCCAGCTAAACTTGTGAAATTTGTTCCACTTGTTCATTTATAAGCTAAGTTTAATCTATCTATATTTATGATTTGTGACCTTAGAAGGTCTGATTGTCTTGGTATGGCAAGTAAACAACGGATTTCACATAAAATGAATCCTGTAGAGATGGCCAACTATACCCAATTGAGTGAATTTACGGATCTAGCTATTTAAATTCCTCTTTCTTTAATCTCGAGTTAAAAAAGAATCATGCATGATGAACGCAGATTGTAAGGGCATTTCTGCCTAACATAGTATACTCTTGCATAACAGTTTAATTTTAAAACTTTTACTGCAATGTAGATATACACATTCACAAATCTTGGGTTGCCAAAGGCATGGTAGCGCTTTTTTGGACGAGGACAGAAGAAAGAAAGACAAGACAGACACGAGCGCTGAATTTCATGCGCTCGTGTCTGTCTTGTCTTTCTTTCTTTTGTCCTCGTCCAAAAAAGCGCTACCATGCCTTTGGCAACCCAAGACCAATACCAACTAGCCCAACATACAGCTTTGATACATTCACAAAGTTTTCATTTATTTTCAAATACAGTCGGCAGAGGTGCACCACCCCACCTTTGAATGTATGCTTTGCTTCTAAGCACGCCATTACGATATTCATACTTTTCCAAGAAGCGCACTCAACGGGTTACCCCGTTGAGTGCGCTTCTTACCAAGCACCGGCGTGCTGAGGAGAAGCAACACCCGCGGAGCTCGCTTCCGCGGGTATTGCTATTATTATTCGTACAGGGACTTGGTACGAAATGCACTGAACGGGGCCAACCCGCCGCAATCAACACTTTGAAAAACGCGAATAGTGCAGTTCTTCTCAAAGCGAATATCGACTAGTGTATTATTCGGAACTACTATTCAAAATTTCGAATATTCGCACAACCCTAGTCTTTACTGCTCCAACGTGTACATCAGTGTGTTGAGATACGCATGTAATATCAAGTCGGTACAACATACCTAACATTCTATGTTTATAAATTAAAAAAAAAGAAAAAACACACATTAGTGAATTTTTTGTTAATTTGGATTTGTTTGATAAACTTCAAATTTCAATGTCCCAATGCAAAAAAATTAAATAAAAGATTGGATTTTACATTTGAGCTTGGTGTCAGCACATAGACTTAATGGTCCTAAAAAAATTCCACCCCGATTTTCTTTCAAATCTCGTATCACTGACAAAAGGGGCCTTACCATTTTTCTCATTAAGGTTCCCTTAGAACAAGTCATAGCACTTTGGATCATGACAAAAGCCAGTGTTCCGGTTTCTAGTCTGGAACATACTATTTGTGCTTCTTAGAGGAAGGAGGGGCCGTGTTTTTTTATAACAGTGAAAGCTATGAACCACAGAGATTCCTTAGAAGGGGAAAGAGGGGGGGGGGGGGGCAGCTGAAGCTTGAGTATTTCACCCTTTGCCACTCCACCCTGTGCGGCCGCAGGATAACACGATGGAACTGAATAGGATGAGATGAAAACGACTTTCCCAGCAACTGTCCCCAGAAGATTAAGATCAAAGCAACACTTGTTTACAAGTTTCCAAGCCTGTTCTTTTAAATCTAGCACATGTTTACACTCAGATATTATTTATTTTTATCTTTGGAAAATAGGAAACACTGCAAAATTAACCACCGAATTTCGGAAAATTGCAAACAAAAATAAACACCGATAACCTCAGAATTTTCAGCAAAAAAATAACCTTCGAAAGAACACCCTCCAAATCTGACAAAAAAAAATTGTGAAAGTATGAAACCCTAGATATACCATATGATTTCAAATTGACTTGTGATTGGACCCTGCGGTCCGTAGCTTGGCTGGACTTCATTGTAGAGCGAGACAAAGTATAGCAGAGATTTGAACCTGCCAACATGAGAAACTTAAGCCAACACATGCCCATTGCAAACTGAAGATTGTCAGATCCATTACGGAAACCCTCCCGAAGGAACGCTACGTCACAGCAACGGCTGAGGAACCAGCATGACACTGAACAATGACATACATAAGACTTCGACAGTTTGATGCACCACACACACCTTGGCATTGTAGAAGGCCTGCCGCTGTTCCGGAGCAGCATACAGGCTTGTGCCAACACCCTGTGTATGTCCCAAACTCTGTCTCCACTGGTGCGAACCAAGCTCTTGGCCACTGTCCTGACAGTTCATGGTGGCCAGTCCAAAGTCACCCAACTTCACTATAGATCCTTTGCTGTCAAACAGAATGTTTTGAGGCTGTAAGAGTAGAATGGAACGACCGACACAAAGCTGTTAGCATTTACGAAGAGGATGTAAAAGTAGACACTTGCATACTATATGTGTATTTATTTACTCTACACACAATGACAGATAACAAGGGTCAACAGAAGGCCACCCACTTTTGTAAACTTTCAGTTCTGATACAGCTTAATTCTGCCATGATTCGGATGGCTTTGACAAAAAATTATATATCTAGAGCACTAACAATAAGCATTTAGAGGGGAAGCAAAAGATCAATCCATAGTGAATAGCCCCCTCATACCAATGCTTTTTTGAAAAAAGTGCAAACGACCACACAAAGTGCTCTATGATTGACAGCGGAATCTGCTGTGTTGTGGAAAGGCATGTTGAAGGAGATTTGCCTTCAGACATTGTGTTGCACAATGTTCGCAGTAAGTTCTTTGTTTTCAGTGGAATCGATGTAGAAGACGTATGTGAGGAGATGTATGCCTTGGTGGAACAATAGTGCGAGATGTTGCATGTGATGGAGAAAGACACATGCTTTTTTTTTTTGTTTTGCTGAATCGCTTTTTCAGAACGGGGGCGCCCGCGACCGTAGCTGCAGTGGAAGAAACAAAAGTATGTACGCGAGCTGTTTTGTAGAGGCGTGCAGTGTGCGAAGGACAACGGGGAGAGGCAGAGCAATGCCTCTGCTGTAGAGTCAGGTTTTGCATACATATATGACAATTTTTTGCCGGCACTAACAGCTATCACTGGAAAAATTGAAAATAATCAGATTATTTTTATTATTATTTTTTTTTAAATTGTGTTAGGTCAGCACTAGAGGGACTTCAGAAATGCTGCTCTTCCATTAAACAGCTGAGTGGCTAGCCCAAGTCTCCTAAGATAGTTTTAAAGAACAATGGATGTCAGAAGGTTCAATGTAACATCTTGAGTGTTAAAACTGTCATACCTTCAGGTCCCTGTGGATAAGCCCTTGGGAATGGATGTACTGAACACCTTTCAAAATCTGCTTAAAGATGGCAAGGGCCCCTTCAATGTTGACACCGCAATTCTCTGCCAAAGAAAAGAGGGTGTGGCACCTTTTAGAGTGAACTGAGGTGGCTTAAAATTTCATTGCAAACCTTGGCTAGCTATATTATATATGTATATGTATATATATATATATATATGTATATATATATATATAAAAAGAAAACTTCAGCCATTTACACTGGCGAGACAAAAAACTTCAACAAAAGAATCCGCCAACGATACAATGTGCTCAAGTTCGACCACAAACGCAGCACAGTCATTGAGCACTGTGATGTCAGAGACCACCGGATTGCTTTCAACAGCACAAGCACGCATGATACTTGCAGAAACTAACCCCCGGCACAGACTTTTAATTTATTCCTGGCACATTCAAGCGACGCCAGGAAACATAAATAGGTGCCTTGGCACTTTGGCAACATGTCAATGGGCTCTGCCATATCACTAAAAGAAGACAGGAAAATACTGCTCCTCAACAACCATCGCGCCAGAGTCACCCCTTGAAGAAAAGCCAAGTAAGCCTCGAAACACAGGGTCCCCCTTTTTAGGATCTGGTCGGTTGTCGTCCTTTATTTATTGTTTTCCCAACCAGAAAGATTTTTCTCAAATGTTGACATTCAGATCTCTATAGGCTGCTCTGCAATTCATTTCCTTCCGACAGATGGCTTTCCAAATGCTACAAGCTCAGTGTGGATATTTGACACACAGCCTAAGGATAAAGAGCTGCTCAGAAAAAAAAAAAAAAAAGTTTTTGGTTTTGTTTAACCACATGCCTCATCTTAACACTTTGACGGTCGCCGTACATGCGAGGTGATGGTTACATATCTGGAAGTTCCCTCTTAAACACGAAACCATCCGCACCCCGGAAGGTGCTGCTATTTGCTATGTCTTTGGGAAACAATAAACATTGTATTCCCTTCGTAGGGACCATTTATAATTTCAAAATTAGACGCTCCATGCACGTAATACGTGAGAGACGGTTGCCTTGCATGTTGACTACTCTGGTCGTAGTGACAATGGGGATGCCAGCTCTTCTGGTTCAGACTTTTAATGCTTCTCAGAATTAAATTCAGATGACAGCTCATCATCGGATGGAAAGGTTCTGTAAAGTACCTCAAGCCCAGAGTCTGACACTGCCGGAATGTCATGAAAGCAGATGCACAAAGATAAAATTGAATGAATAAAAAAGGCAACAACTTTTAGCCCCCAATACTTCCATTCTATGCTTCTCAGCCTGAACAGCTTGCAAGACGTTGATAGCTAAAAAAAAGCTCTGTGCATTTACTTTCTTTGTACTATCCCTCTGGGGAAAAAAACGGACCACTGGGGCACATCTATTAGGGGGGAAAAAAATGACCGCAAAAGGGTTACCGCAAAATACCGGGCAAGCGCCCACTGAAAATTTAGAGATAATCACAAAAAAATGAGGGATGAGCGCTTGTCCAATCATCAATTTTACGTATCAATGTACTGTGCATATTTTCTCAGATCTTACAAATTTGGGAGTGGGTGCTTAGTGTGGAATGGGTGGATGCGCGGTATTTTACGGTAAGAGACAAGACAACTTGACAAGATTTTAAGTACAATTCAAGAGTGGCATAAAACGTTTTGTACTGCCTTTCTGCCCTTTACACGTTTTAAGAGGGCGCGGTACCTCTATTTATTCGTCCGTTTCAGCCACCAGATGGCGCGCGGCTCGAAACGTGGTTGAACGCGCAACTTGTAGATGGCGCCAGTATCGAAGTGTGAAAAGGCCCGCGTTATCCGCTGCGTGAAATAGATCCCGAAATGTGCCGTGTTCTCCCGGCGGAGGAAGTTTCTCCCTCCCTCGCGCGCGCTTGGTATGTACGCGCGGTGGCCGAGTCCGGCCTCTGCGCTGTGTAATGCAGTGGGTGGCGCTCGTTTCTGTTCGGAGGTAGGAATGAAAATGCCTGTCCCCTTTTTTACGACGCTCGTTTCTATAGCTTGTTTCTCTTTTTTTTTTCTATCTCAAGTGACCTACAGTACTGCCTGTTCGAAATCGTCCTTTGCGGTGAGCGATTGAGAGTCAGGTTAGCATTTTATTTGGGTCAGCACTACACGTTCAATGGAGACCTCGGGCTGCGATGTAAATATGCATTGCTCCCCAAAGTGTGTCCAAGGTGCGCAATGACAATTGGAAAGGGTATTGAAGGCGCGCGACCGTCGGTTGGTAAAATACGTGCGTTATATTCACTTATTCAGTCCAATCATTTTTGCCAACGTCTTTTATCTGTTTCGACAAATTACATGGTCGAGTCTATTGAAAACCTTAGCTAGATTGGACGTACGGAGTGTCCGGGCTTTAAATAAATTTGCTTCGTTTATGTGAATGAATAACTGTTTTCTCTTTTCCGTGCTCGGTGCTATGCAAAAATCGCTGAGATGTTATGGTAGCTCAGTGTGGCGGCGTTTTGCACGCTGACTCACTATTGCATTCGCTGTGCACAATATGTGTTCAGATGGAATGTGCCAAATCGTATTTCCGATCGATATGATAGATTTACTTTGCTACGGTGTTAATTATATTTTCCTGATTTAAACTGGTTCGTCCCTGATCTGAGCCTAAGTTCAAATTCGAAGGTGCAGACAGGCTTAGCGTCGTAACAGCCGTAATGCGCAGAAAGAAATTAGTACCATGAAAGAAAAACAAAAGGATACGAGGTGGCTCAGTGTTGTAGAAGTAATGAGTGTGCAAAAGATGCCATCGTATGTGTTTTTTTTTTTTTTTTTTTAACTCTCCGCATCGCTGGGAAACGCTCAAGGTACCAGCAAAGACAGCGAGCTGGCGTGAAATTTCCATCGAGCGGAAAACGAGTGTCATTTTTATTTCATCATGCGCTTTCATTTTGATATGGCTCAATATGGGCGCGAAATAGTAACAGGTAAGGCAACAAAATTTAGATGTTAGGTCTGGAGCACCGCCATACTCAGCCGTGTTGGGGGCGGGATACGGCCCATTCGTCACATGTCGATTCGTCATAGGGCAACTGGTAACAGGCCCGTTCGTCACAGCGGAACATTGGTCATAGGGGATTCGTCACGCTGGCAGTTCGTCACATAACAACTTCAAGATTGTTAAACTTTTTTTTTTTCTATCTTGTTTTCTTAGGAAAGTTACGAAAGGGGGCCACTTAATTAAATCCGTACAAGGCCAGTGAGGTTGACTACGGGAAACAAAAGCATGTCCCAATGACCCCGAGTTAAGGCAGCATGCAGCCTTTAGCCTGCATGTTGTCTTATCGGGGTCACCTTTCTTACAAAAGACCTTCGAGAACATAAAGTTTACAATAGAAAAAAACCCACCGAACGCGATTCTTTTTTTTTTTTTTTTTTTGTGCCCTGTTTCAGGGCTTATTATGCCGGTTGCCCTCCGATTACAAAAATATCACGAGTCTCGATTTCTAAATGGAGGTAGTTACTACTAAGAGAGGTGGCGATATGCTTCTTCACGAAGGACATTCATTAATGTTTACGAAACTACGTTGTATTGGGCCTGCCGGCGGGTTCCCGGACATTTCATCGAACGCCGTTTCGTCGAACGCCGTTTCATCGAAAAAATGGACGTTTCATCGAACGCCGTTTCATCGAACGCCATTTTATCGAATCGCTGACGGCCGTTTCATCGAATGTCTTTTATATAAAAAGTGTGAAAGATGCTCTTTTATGCACGGATCGAGTGCATTTTCGTGTCATTCACCCATTTCATCGTCAGGTTTTTTAATGTACAAACTTGTAGCTGTTACAATTTATTTTGATGCAAGTAACCCATGAGGATATTTGTTCCGATTATTACGTTTGTTTCGCATATTGTGCTTATCTATTCACCCCCTCTGTATCACCCGATGGGCCTTGAGGGTATTGTAACAATTAAATAAAAAAGTCGCACTGCCGGTAAGAGCGCAATCCAACTCGCGGAGGCCAGAAGGCGACTTAGGTTTTGCGCAGGCGCAACAACTTTAGCCCTGTGAGCTACGGCCCTTACTGTGAGCCTCCTAGCCTGCCATGTGTTTCTATTGATACTTTTTTACTGCCCGAAGCTTGCATTAGCTAAAGCTGAAGTGCTATTTATGAAACTACAACGAAACATTTTTTTTTTTAGTTCTAAGACTCAAGTCAAAAGTAAGTCGTCACTTCAATTTTTTTTGAAAACTTTCGGGGGTTTATGTGTTCCTGCGACAGCCATTCACCGTTTAAGATGATGAGCAATTGTTCTTAAAAAGTCCCCCCCAGCCATGCTCCGTCGGTTCTCATAAAAAAGGCGGACCTTCTCATGCTATGGCCTTCTTCTTGCGAGGAGGCTCTTGGGAACTCAACATCGCCTCCAGCTTGCCTTCTGTCAGTTGATGTTCTGCGGCGATGCAAGTCAAAAACTTCCAGAACCCGGGATGGGCACCTCCGACCAGCTTCAGCAAGCGGGAATGCCACCCTGGCGTTCGATAAGACGGCGTTCGATAAAGCGGCGTTCGATGAAACGGCTTCGATGAAACGGTGTTCGATGAAACGGCGTTCGATGAAGCGGCGTTCGATGAAACGGCTTCGATGAAACGGCGTTCGATGAAACGGCGTTCGACGAAATGTCCGGTCCCACTGCCGGCGAAGAGCAGTTTGTAAAACTAAAATAGTCACCGATCACGCCAAGACTCGTGTAATCTCTTATTCAGGAGACCATACGCATGCATTTACAACACCAAGATAAACGTGCTTGGGTTCGTCATGAGATGAAGGAAAAAGCTGGTATGTACCAAAATCTGTTCCTGCTCTTGTATTCCCAAAACAAGGTCATTAATGTCCTTTATTCCAGTGGTAGGCCGTCTATCACCACACCAAATGCTTCTGGCTGCGGTTGCCTGTGTCAGTGACGACACTTCTTTGCAGATTCCCGCACCGCCAACACTCCGGCGCACCATCCGCAAGCAAAGGCAGCGGCCGAATTTCGAGTACAGCGTATCATCTTGCAGAGCCGACATACGATCGAATGCCCACAGAGTTCAAAGTAAAGTGTA